GAAGATCCCACATGCCGTGGAAAAGCTAAGCCCATGAGCCACAACTCCTGGCGCCTGTGGTCCACAGCAAGAGAAACCACTGCAACGAGAAGCCCACACACCACAATGAAGACTCAATGCAGTCAAAAATAAAATTAATCAAATAATAAAAAGGAGAAGAACAACAGATACTCATCACTCAGTCGCCTTTCGGCAGGAGTGATGGAGACACCAGGAGAGGAGCACAGACCGGTCCCCGCAGCCTGCTCCTCCGAGGGAGGTTCAGGTAACCAGGAACACTGTGACAGCTGCCACCCAGTCTTAGAGGGAGCTAGAAAAGATCTTAAAGCAAAAGAGTAACCCAGTTTATCACTGTCTTTACTCAAAGGACTCAGAGTAGCCCAAATTATCTTGAAAAAGTACAAATGTGGAGGACTCATAATTTTTTATTTTAACTTACTCTTTGTAGAGACTTGTAGACTTAGAGAACAAACTTATGGTTATTGGGAGGAAAGATGGGGGAAAGGGATAGGGAGTTGGGGAAGGTCATGTACACACCACTATATTTAAAACGGATAATTCCACCATGGAATATTACTCAGCCATTAAAAAGAATTCATTTGAATCAGTTCTAATGAGATGGATGAAACTGGAGCCCATTATACAGAGTGAAGTAAGCCAGAAAGATAAAGACCATTACAGTATACTAACACATATATATGGAATTTAGAAAGATGGTAACGATAACCCTATATGCAAAACAGAAAAAGAGACTCAGATGTATAGAACAGACTTTTGGACTCTGTGGGAGAAGGCGAGGGTGGGATGTTTCAAGAGAACAGCATCGAAACATGTATATTATCTACGGTGAAACAGATCACCAGCCCAGGTTGGATGCATGAGACAAGTGCTCGGAGCTGGTGCACTGGGAAGAGCCAAAGGGATCGGGTCGAGGGGGAGGTGGGAGGGGGGATCGGGATGGGGAATACATGTAAATCCATGGCTGATTCATGTCAATGTATGACAAAACCCACTACAATATTGTAAAGTAATTAGCCTCCAACTAATAAAAATAAATTAAAAAATAAATAAATAAAGGCAAGACAAGAAAAAAAAATAATGTAAAAAAAAAATAAATAAATAAAACGGATAATTCATAAGGACCTAGAGCATAGCACAGGGAACTCTGCTCAATGTTATGTGGCAGCCTGGATGGGAGCAGAGTTTGGGGGAGAATGGATACATTTGTTTGGCTGAATCCCTTGGCTGTTCACTGGAAATTATCACAACATTGTTAATCATCTACCCCAATACAAAATGAAAAGTGGAAAAAAAAAAACTTAGTCTTTGTAAGTCATCAAAACTGTGTGATAAAGAAGATAACCATGGCTGATTCATGTCAATGTATGGCAAAAACCACCACAATATTGTAAAGTAATTATCCTCCAGTTAGAATAAATTAATTAATTTTTTAAAAATAAGATAGCACAAGGATAGAAATTTAGATCAGAGGAAGGAAATTAAGTCCAGAAATACACAACCACATTTTCAGTCAGTTGATTTTTGACAAGAATGCCAAGACAATTCAACAGAGAAAGAACCCTCTGCAATAAATGATGCTGGGATGACTATATCTCCACATGCAGGATAATGAAGTTGAACCTCTACTTCATATTCAAAAATCAGCTCAACATGGACTTGAAAACCCAAATGTAAGAGCTAAAACTTTAAATCTTTTAGCAGAAAATAGCGGCATAGATTTTGTGACATTGGATTAGGTGATGGTTTCTTAGATATGACACCAAAAGCACATGCAACCAAAGGGAAAACATAGCTAAATAGGCATAATCCATCAAAATGAAAAATTTTTGTGTCTTTTAAAGGACACTACCAAGAAAGTGAGGGGACTTCCCTGGCTATCCAGTGGTTAAGACTTCTCGTTCCAATTTACAGGGTGTGGGTTCAATGCCTATTGGGGTAGCTAAGATCCCACATGCCTCCTGACCAAAAAGTCAAAACTTAGAGCAAAAGCAGCATTGTAATAAATTCAATAAAGACTTTTAAAAAATGGTCTACATCAAAAAAAAGTGCAAAAACAACCCATGGAACAGAAGAGAGTTTTGCAAATCAAATATCTGATAATGGACTCATTTTTAGAATACATAAAGACTTCTTATAATTCAATAATAAAGAGATAAGTAATCCAAATTAAAAATGGGTGAGAGATCTGAATAGATATTTCCCACAAGAAGATATACAAATGGTCTACAGGCACATGAAAAAGATGCTCAACATCAGTAGACACCAGGGAAATGCAAATCAAAGCCACAGTGAAATACCACTTCACAAGCACTAAGATGGATAGAGTTAAAAAAAGAGAGAAAGAGGGAATAACAAATGTTGGCAATCATGTGGAGAAAGTGGAACCCTTATGTACTACTGAGCGTACTGTGGAATGGTGTACCCACTTTGGAAAATAGTTTGGCAGTTTCTTAAAAAATTAAACATAGAATATGACCCCTAGGTATACAGAGAAATGAAAACATACCCACACAAAAACTTGTACACGAATTTCATAGAGGCGTTATTTGTCACAGCCAAAAAGTGGAAATAGTTCTTTGTTGTTCAGTTCATCATCCAGTGAAGTGATAAACACAATGTGCCACACCCATACCAAGGAATATTATTTGGCCGTTGTATCGTATTGTATGCGTAGTCCCTTAGTCGTGCAACCCCATGAACTGTAGCCTGCCAGGCTCCTCTGTCCATGGAATTCTCCACGCAAGAATATTGGAGTGGATTGCCATGCCCTTCTCCAAGGGATCTTCCCAACCCAGGGATCAAACCCAGGTCTCCTGCATTGCAGGTGGATTCTTCACCATCTGAGCCACCAGGGGATTTGGCCATAAAAGGGAATAAAAACCTGTTACAACATGGATGAACCTGGAAAACATCACATTAAGTGAAAGAAGCCACTCACGAAAGATCACATATTGTATGATTCCATTCATATGTAAGGTCCAGAATAGGGAAATCAATAGGAACAGAAAATAGATTGCCTAGGGCTGGGAGTGGAAGCAGGAATGAGGAGTACTGTTAATGACCCCAGGGTTGTTTCTTTTGGGGGTCATGAAAATGGTCTAAAATTAGTTGTGGAGATGGTTACACAACTCTGTAAATATACTAAAAACCATTCAGTATACATTTTAAATGAATGAATAACATGGTATGTGAATTACATCTCAATAAGGCTTCCATATATATATATATATATATATATATATATATGTATGTATGTATTATCTTTTTTTTTTTTTAAGGAATTTCCCAACTGGCCAGGAGTGGGGAGACTATGAAGGGTGAGAGAGTCTATTGCAATAGTTCAGAGTGGAAATAATGAAGGTCTGAGTCAAGGTTGTCGCCATGAGGCTGGAACACTGGGGGGCAGGCCTGAATGTGCAGACAGTGCAGAGGACTGCGTCACTGGTCGTGTGTGTGTGTGTGTGTGTGTGTGTGTGTGTGTGTGTGTGTGTTGGTGTTGAGGTAATAACAGCTGGCATTTATTGAGTACCATCTATGTGGCTGGGTCCCCTGAAACATCTCCTTTATTCCTCACTGTCATTCTGTAAGAAGGAGACTGTTTTCATTCTATGAAACGGAAGCACAGGATTCGAGAACCTGCCGGGATAACACCAGATGTGGTGGAACTGGAATTTGCACCAAGGGGCTCAACTGGAAGCCTCATTCCTCTAACTACACCACCCCCCCACCACCGCGGGGTTTCTGGGTGAGTGAGCTGAAGGAGGGGGCGTCTCTGTCTGAGATAAAGAATACCAACAGAGGGACGGGATTTGGGGGGAACGGGACAAGTTCGGTCTGGGATGTGATGAATTTGAGATGCTTCTGGGATACCATAGATATTCCGTGGAACAACGGGTTAATGAAACAGGAGCATGAGAGAGAGGAGGCCAGGAAATGACAGATTTCCGCACCTTCCAGGGTATCTGTTCTCCTCAGGAGTGGTTGAGAGCACATAGAAGAGTCTATTCCTGAGAGAAGAGAAACGATGGAGATCTGGGGTCCTGGGGACTGCAGGGTGAGCAGCCGCTGGGAGTGGGAGGAGGGACAGGTCTGATCACAGTCGGGGGTGGGGGGGAAGCGGTAGGGAGGCGGGGAGCGCGAATCTCCGTGAGAACCACTGAAGACAGTCCTTCTGCAGGCACCCGATGGTGAGAGAAGGCGGGTGTCTTACACAGAACCCTTCAGTCCCGCATGCCTCCAGGCACCAGCCCATCCTCCGTCTGTGTCTGTGATGTGGAGACTCCTGGGGGCCAACCCCCCATGCTGGGAAGAATGCAGATGCCCGGCAGAAGCCAAGAGCAGCAACAGCAGCGAGGGTTTCTGTTTCACTGCTTTGGGAGCATATTGAGGATTTCAGCGATAAAGAACAGTAAGCTGAAGTCCGAGGATTTTTTGAAACTATAGAGTATATTCATTGTAATGCAAAATTAATTGTAACAGGGTTTGACCAAAGTTTGGATTCTGCTCAGAAAGCCAGTGTCATATCTTTTTGCCTTTTCCCTGATGCTGGGGATAAGATTGAGGGCAGGAGAAGAAGGGGGGCGATAGAGAATGAGATGGTTGGGTGGCATCATCAACTCAATGGGCATGAGTCTGAGCAAACTCCCGGAGATGGTGAAGGACAGGGAGGCCTGGCGTGCTTCAGTCCATGGGGTCGCAAAGAGTCAGACACAACTGAGCGACTGAACAGCAGCAACAGAAAGCCAGCCTGTTCCACACGCTTTCTTATTTGTCATGCTTGAGGAAATCTGATCCAACATAGAAGCAGCAACCACAGCCACACAGCTGGCCAGCTGCCACAAATCGTCCCCCACCTGCTCTTAACCTCTTCAAGCTCCTTTCCTATGCTGCTACCTCCAAACACCCCCCAGAGAACGCATCTTTGAGCCTTTCGTGTCATCTCCTCTAGTTAACAGCTTGCTGAATGACTGAATGACTAAATGACTCACCCCGCCGAGGAGCAGCTGCCCCTACGAGTGCTTCCACGTAGAAATGAGGGCCACCTCTTCCCTGGTGGCTCAGCTGGTAAAGAATTTGCCTGCAATGCGGGAAACCTGGGTTTGATCCCTGGGTTGGGAAGATGCCCCTGGAGAAGGGAACGGCTATCCACTCCAGTATTCTGGTCTGGAGAATTCCATGGACTCTATAGTCCACGGGGTCACAAAGAGCCGGACACGACTGAACGACTTTCACTTTCACTTTTCTCACTTCTCTTTATGACCCCAATGAGGACTCCATCCAAGTTTGTTTGTTTTTTTTTAGTTCAAGATGCAGAACCTCCCAGGGTTGAATTGCTAATCAGCATCTATAGGGTAAACGTGACAGAAAGTATGAGTGTCCCCCCCGGCCAGCTGGGGTCTTTCACAGCCCTGCGGTGAACCATGGCCTCTGCAATGGCCCAGCTGGGGAGTTAATTCCGCTTCTCCTTTGAGCCACTTCTCTCGAGTCCAGCTGTCCTTGAGTGTTTCTGTGGGGACAGCAGGTGGGGGCTTCCCCCCTGCCTTGCACTCACCCAGAGGGATGGACTACTTTTGAATGACCTGGAGGACCAACCCCCTTCTCCTTCATCTTGCATCCACTGTTTATTCCTTGTCCTTTTACGTCTGAGGGTGTTCACCAGGGTCTGGAGGGCAGGGGTGCAGCAGACAGAGGCCTAGAGGGCTGCGTGCAAACACATTCAACCCGAATGAACCAAAGAGAGATAAAACAAACCTTTAAAAAAATGAATCCCTTAAGAGAGTCCCCGGTGGCTCTGTAGCCCTGGCTGCTTCTCTCAAGACCGTACACTCTGCTCACTGGGAGCAGATGGCCTGCTGGAGACTTCAGGCAAACTTCCTGCTACTCTGCTGGGACCATGTGGCCCTCCCTAGTCTCTGCCCGCTGTGCCAGTCTGGGTTGTGGAGTCTTGGGCCTACTGGGCTCCCAGTCCAGGCTAGAAGAGACCACAAGAGCCAGAGCCAGCAGGAGTCATCTGGGCCCCCTCCCCACCCCCAACCCCCACAAGGGTCCCTGCTGCCAGAGGAAGAGCATCGCCTTGTTCTGCAAAGACCAGAGTGGAGAAAGGCCTGGCCCCAAACCAGCCCAGACCCAGCAGGTCAGTCCAGCCCTCCTGGCTCTCAACCCTTTGTCGGGAGTGCATTGGGGGAGGGGAAGGAGCAGCAGATGCCGAGATGCAGGGGGGTCCAGTCACCCAGAGCAGGAAGGGGCTTCAGATTCAGGAGACGTCCCTGATGGCAGAGAGCAGAGGCTAAAGAGGACATGGGACGAAGTTGAGGGAAGGAGGGTCAGGGAGGCAAAGCCTAGATTACTGACATGGGGACCACATCACTCTTCTCTTGGAGTCTCCATCAGCATCCGTACAGTGGGCACATGACCCCAGCCCTGCCACCTCATGCTCCAGCCTTGACCTCAGCCTTCTCACCTCTGATCCTGCCTGCCCAGCCCTCCTTCTCTCTCAGACCAGCTCCCGCTGTTCCCGCAGGCCCTGGGTTGGTGGAAAATGCCTTTCCCCCAGCTCCCACCCACGCAGAATAGGCCAATTCACCCAAAGAAACACCAGCACTTCCCAGTTCCAAATGCCCTGGGAAGAGACTAAGTGGCCAGCCGGGCTCATGCGCACCTGGGCAGAGGTGTCCCGTTGAACCATGGGCAGTGACCCAGGACCAATGTGGCAGGGCGGTTAAAGCGGCTGGAGGCAGACAGATGGCTGTGGCTAAAGGGCTTTGGCGGATGCTCCAAAAACATGTCCAACCTGAGATGCCATCTTACATCAAGGGATGTGGGAACAGAGCCGATGAGCTGAGGCGTGGACACACCTAGTGGGAGCAGCTGATGCGACTTTGAGTGTGACGTCTGCTGGAGTCCGGAGTCTCGTGCTCTGGAGAGGTCTGGCTGGAGGTGTGCTTCTGGGAGCATCAGCCTCCAGGAGGTAAGTGAGCCAGGGGGAGGAGATGGCCCACAGCGAGAGGGTGGGGAGCGGGGGCTGGAAATGGGCAGAGAGGAACGCCAGGGATGAGACTGGCAGGAGACGGAAGAGGGGAGGCGGGAGAGGCAGGAAAAGCGAAAAATACAAGGCAAGGTGGAATCCAAAGGAAGAGTCGAAAAAGGGCTGGTGTTGTCGGAGTTCAGGCAAAATGAAGCAGGAAGGGTGAACTGCTGGGAGTGGATGTGAATAGAAATGCCCAGGGAGGGGTGATGCTGAATCTGGAGGGAGAGGTGGGCAATTCCCAGGTGAAGAAGGGGTGAAGCCCAGGATGAAGAATCGTCGTGTGCAAAGACACAGCACGAATGCAATGCCTTGGGGGCACCTGAAGCAATATGGAATTGGCAGTGAGTGGGGTGGGGGTGGCAGAGGGGTGTGGGAGGTGGAAGTGAAGAGGCAGAAAGCAACCACACCTGAAGAGGTGTCTTAGGGCAGGTTGAGCTATCCACATCTTCTGTAAATCGGGGTTGGCAAACTGCAGTCCACGGGCCGAATCTAGCCTGCTGCCTATTTTTATAAATAATGTTTTGTTGGAACACAGTTCCACCTAGGCTAGAATGGCGGAGTCTACCATATGGCCTTAAACTGTGTGTATTTGACCCTCTACAGAGAAAGTTTGCCGCCCTCTGCTGTAGACAACATTTCACCACTGAGCAAGAAGAACAAGAGGATCAGAGATCTGGCTGGCGCAGGGCAGGCAGAGGTGGGATGAGTGAGACTGGAGACTGGCGGAGGGTAAGGGGCTGTGGCTGCCATCCTGGTGAGAGCTAGTGCTGACCTGAGCTAAAGCAGTCGAGGTGAGGGGGCTTAGCTTTACAGGAAAGGCAAATAAAATCCTTCGAGGTAATCTGAAGCACTGGGTTGAAAAAGATGTGGTTGTTGTTTAGATGTTAGGTCATGTCTGACTCTTTGTCACTCCATGGACTGCAGCACACCAGGCTTCCCTGTCCTTCACCATCTCCCAGAGTTTGCTCAAACTCATGTCCATTGAGTCAGTGATGCCATCCAACCATCTCATCCTCTGCCACCCCCTTCTCCTCCTGCTCTCAACCTTTCACACCATCAGGGTTTTTTCCAGTGAGTCAGCTCTTCGCATCAAGTGGCCAAAGTATTGGAGCTTCAGCGTCAGCATCAGTCCTTCCAATGAATATTCAGGGTTGAGTTCCTTTAGAATCGACTGGCTTGATCTCCTTGCTGTCCAAGAGACTCTCAAGAGTCTTCTCCAGCACCATAATTCAAAAGCATCAATTCTTCGGTGCTCAGCCTTCTGTATGGTCTAACCCTCGTATCCATATATGACTACTGGAAAAACCGTAGCTTTGACTATAAGGACCTTTATCGACAAAGTGATGTCTATGTTTTTTAATACTCTGTCTAGGTTTGTCATAGTTTTCCTTCCAAGGAGCAAGTATCTTTTGATTTCATGGCTGCAGGAGAAAGATGCAAACATCAGCAAGAAAGAGATCACCAAGTCACAAATATCATGTGGAGAAGGGTAAGGAAGAAGGGAGAGGCCAAGGACCACGATATTTTGCTCTTAAATTAAAATATCTGTTTCTGTTTCATTGAAAAAAAAATACTAAACTTTGGCTGCTGGAATTTCCTCTTTGCTGAAAGATGCTTTATAATAAAGAAATACTCTTGGGATTTGCTTACATCTGAAGATTCTGAACAACTGCCTTTTTTCTCCTTCTTAATGACAGGAAGTAGGAGATTTGATGGGGTGTTTAACCAGACTTGCAAGCCCAGTCTGCACCTTGAAAGAGGAAATGACTATAGGTGGGGTTAGGGTTGGGGAAGGGGGAAGAGTGAGACCTGAGATGCCTGTGTTGCAGATCCCAGGAGTCAGCTCTGGGCTCTTATCGGCAGGGTCCAGAGGAGGAAACTCATGGGCCAAAGGAGAGGCAGGGCCTGGGTGAGCTGGCAGGAAGCCTGGACTACGAACAACATGGAAAAAGGCTTGGGAGTCATCCCTGTCGCCTGCATAAGCAGGAGTTCTGTCCCAGGGGGCAATCTGGACGTTTGATAACCTGAGAACAGACAGAAGAAGCTGTGAAGAAGTGACATGGTTACTGGGGGTGGTTAGCCTGTGGGCCTCAGTGGGACAGGAAGTGGGACCTGAGAAAGTAATATGACAATGCCTGATCAGCCCAAGCTGGGGAAAGGAAATATAAAGCCTCATCTTCTGGGTGAGCAAAGTGAGCATAGTGGGGCCCTGCTGTCCCAGTGTCAAGGCAGAGGTGCAGGCAGGGCCGCAGCGGGCTGTGGGCTGAACTGACCAAGACTCGGGCATCATCTCCCCTGAAACCTGGGGCCTCCTCTGAGACATCTGTTGACTTAAAGAAAGACACATGGTAAGAGCTGTAAATTTAAGTTTTATTCAGGGTCTTGCTGAAGACAATAACCCGGGAGACAGCCACTCAGCAGCTCAGAGGAAACTACTCTGAAGAAATTGGGGCGAAACCAGTTTCTGTATGATTTTTGGCTAGGAAATACATCTGGGCCAGCATACATCTTGGTAAAAGATAACTGCTAGTCACAAAGAACAGATATCTCAAGTTCATGATTTTAGTGCTTTCCTATGAATGGGAAGATGCAAAAATACTCCTCTAAGATATGCATCTAACTATCCAGGGGCCCGTTTAATCAAAGCACAGGGTGCCTAATCCTGTTTTTCACCCTGAATTCTTCTCAGGGCACACTGCTGGTGGGAATGCAGTGGGTTAAGACACTGGCCCTTGTAGAACTCAGTGGTGATCTTTGTTCACATGTCTTTGGCTGCAAGTATGCAGGATGGCTATGAAATAAACTGTCGGCACATGAGGAATAAAATGAGAGGACTGTTCCCTTCCTCTACCCAGAAAGCCGAACCGTCATGTTCCTCCACCGGGCTCTCAGAGAGAGGATAGGTTGGGGAAGCAGACTGATTCTTGGTGCTTCAGGGACTGCCCAGGTCCAAAAAAAATCCACTTAGGTTGCCTAAGGCCTGGCAGGGACAGAGCCCAGGCCTCGGTCTCCTCCAGTGGGAAGGCCAGACTGCCCAGGGGACATGGCTCCACAGAGCCCCCCAGTCTCAAGAGCAGGGTGGGGGGATCCCCGTGTGTGCCTGTGACCACCCAGGAAGAGCCTATAGGGACATCCGGGAGCCCCTGGAGGCGGGGGCAGTGCTCAGGGAACTGTTGCCTAGGCCCCTTCTCCCGCTCCTGTTCCCCTGAAAGCCTTTTGATTCCTGATGAGCCCATGGAGTTGGTGGGGGAGGAGGGGTCCTCAGAAACAAAAAATGAACAATCCTCCTCAGGGAGATACAAGCTCAAGGTCAGATTAGTTTAGGGAAATTATGTTGGCTGCTTCTTTTCCATTCCAGTGTTAAGAATACAAGAGTAACAGATCCTAACTTTTACCCCAAAAGGCAATTTATTGGAAAGAGGATGAGGAAATGGAAACTAAAGGTGGAGGTACAGCACAGTGTCTGGGCACCGGGATGCCAACAAAAATCAGCAGTGCCCCTTGGCTGGCTTCTGCTTCTTTGCCCCAGAACTAATTCCTGTTGAGCACTTACCGTGTGCCAGGCACTTACAGAATGGAGAACTTAATATGTGTCGTTAAATCCTCAAGACAACCCCCTAAAGTCGGTATTGATAATATCAATCTCATTTAGACAGTTTCACATCGAAGCACAGAGAAGTTGAGTCACTTGCTGAAGGTCACACAGCCAGGACATGGAAAGCTATATCCTCTCCACCGCTCTACTGTGCCGCCTCCAAAGAAACAAGGGTCACCATGAACCCCCTAGATGTGTCTTCTATCCTAAGCTACCCTCTCACAATAACTTGACAAGTCACCGGGGAGACAGGCAGGAAGATGGCAGATGGGTTGCTGTTATGCACCTGTGTGTATCACAGTTTACACATTTTGCATGTGTCCTCATCTCAACCTCACAATTCCCGGAGGAAACAAACCCAGCAACGAAGTACAGGCCTGGAGCCACTGCAGCTGATGAGGGCTGGGGCCGTCTGGGGTCTGGAGGCGGGGTGTGTTTCTTTCTCTCCCCATCCTTGGCAACCGCAGGGGGTGCTCCTGGCCCGCGTGGGTGCAGCAAAGACAGTGCCTGTTTGTAGCTTCCCCTGGGGGATCCGGCGCCAGATAAGCACCAACGATGTGCAAGGCCTTTGGGATGGATCGATCCGAGTGCTGTGTTCAGGTTCTCCAGGTCTTGACGCTGTGGGTTGGGGCAGGAGTGAGGTCTGCTTCAGAAACTTGCAGGCACCTGCAGCGCCGGCCTGCGGGAGCCGCCCTCTCTGTGGCCGGAGCACTTGAGCTCATTTCCTGTCTCAGTTCTCCCCTGGGCTGGGGAGCCGGGGGAGGCGGGGGAGGGGGGACAGGCGGGGAAGCGGGGCGGCCCTGGCGCGTCCTTCCGCAAAGGATGGGTGTGCCCGGGGCGGGGCGGGACTGCGGGGGCCGGAGGTGCTGGAGGGGAGGGGGCACTGCTGGGGCAGTTCTGACCCTTTCGCTTCCCTTCGCGGAGGCGGTGGGTGGACGGAGGTCTGGGCAGACAGGCTGGTGGGGCTCTCAGAGGCGATGGGGGCTGAAGTCCAGGCTGCCCAGGAAGAGTCAGAGGCCTGCGATTGACCGCCCAGCTTGGAGAAGAGAAGTGTAAGGAGCTTTCTGGGGCCCTTGCTCTGGGGAAGGGACGCTGTTCTTTCTCTGGCATGTTCTTTCAAACCAGAAAAAAGGAAGTTGAGCCCTAGCCAGAGACTCCAGTTAGACCTGCAAACATGTTCCAAGGGGTCAGGGAACAGAGAGCTGCCAGGTAGAGACCATCTCCCGCCTGACATGGTCAAGCTGGTGTAACGCGAAGGAAAAAAAAGGAGTGAGTTTTTCTTTTCTGAGAACAAAGACGATAAAGAAAACAGTGAACAGGCCTGATCACTCCTAGGTTTTACTTTCACTGTTGCTAATCTGTTGTCTATAACTGAGTTTGCTTTTCTGCCTCCTAGCTCTGTATAAGCGTCATTCTGCATCTATTCTCCTTTGACTCTATGCTAATTACATCCTGTATCTGTTCTCACCTTTACAGCACTCTCTTCCTTGCTGTTTTTTTTTTTTTTTCTCCTCTCTCTCTTTTTGCACTATACAAAGAAAGCCCAGTACAATTCACAAAAGACAATGGACCCAACTACCGGCCTACCTGATGCCAGCCTCCGACTGTTTTTGAAACAATACGAGAATTATACAAGATCCTTATACCTTTGTTCCTCATCACCAACCCAGAACTTGGAACCCTCATCTATATAATCCCTTAGACTCCCCCTGGAAGAGGGACACAATTCTTGAGGCATGAGCCTGCCGCATCTTCCCTCCGCCACCAGAAGATTAAAACCACCTTTCTATTTCCTCCAAATTCTGTCTCCGTGTTTTTTATGTGGCTTCAGTGGGTAGAGAAGGCCAAGATTTTGGCAGCATCGAAGCCTGAAAATCGACGGTCACATGGTAAGAGAGAGAGAGTGTGTGTGTGTGTGTGTGTCATGGAGGGGTTGTGTCTCCAAAATTACACACCTGCTCTCCGTGCTTTTTCCAGAAACACACAGGAACTGAAGACCAGGCACTGAAGAGCCACTCCCTCCCCTTCGTCCCGGCGGGCGGGGTCTTCAGAGACCCCTGACACCCGTCCCCGCCAGAAACAGGAGGGGTTTGTGTGGGATGATCCCTGAAGGGCTCCCACCTCTGACCCCCAAGACCATGAGTTGAACCCCCTGGACTGTGTGCAGAAAATGCAAGGAGGAGGAGGGAGCAAGCCAGACTCCAGGAGGGCTTGTTTAGGAGTGAGCCCTGTGTCTGCCCACAACTTCTAATTAGAGGCAGGGTACAGGATCCGCATTTTCATCAGCTCACACTGAAATCTGAAACATACCATACTGACCTTTATGAGATTCCCATAAACCACACATTCCCATCCTCTGCTCCCCTGATCCCCCAGGTCTGTCCTGCTCTTTCTTGATTTCATTCCGGTCTCTGCACAGATGTCCCTCAGAGAGGTCTTTCCTGATCTCTTGATCTAACAGGTAAGTCATTTTGTAGTGTAGGTATGTTCCATGTAATGTGTGGGAAATACTTGTACTTTAAAAAAAAAAGATTGTTGTGAACCTAAGACTGAAATTGAACTGGGCATCCTGTATTTTTATTGCTAAATCTGGCAGTCCTAAGGCATGGGGACTCTGTACCCCCAACCCCCTGACAGTGGGGCCATTCGCTAGTTGGAGTTGCCAGGAGCAGCAGATAG